CCACATTACTGTCAATTTTTCCATCATCTGTATTCATCTGTTCAGCTCTCAGAGGGATAGCAAGTGACAAAAAAACAAAACAAAAAACACCCCAAAAAAACCCCAAAACCCAACATAGGCAGGTGCACTTTTAGTCCCCAAACTGACATCATTGCTCCTTAGTAATCTGGAGAAGTCCCTGAAGGCAGACTTTCCCAGTGCAATCTATTTCGTAATTTCCTGACAGCTGGTAACAACTGTATTGATTGTGACTAAGTAAGGTGCAGTCACTAAATTTCAATTTTTTCTCCATCTATCATGTTGCCTATCAGTCCAGTAGTGAAAATTGTTGTTTTCTAGATGTTGAGATACAATCCATATTGAAGGCTATAGTCTTTGATCTTCTACCATAGTACTCAGCTCCTCCTCACTTGCAGTAAACAATGTTGTCTCAACTGTCCGATTATTGATGAGTCTTCATCCAATCCTGATGCCACATTCTTCAAGTCCAGCTTCACAAGTAACTTGGCTCAGCATAGATTGGATAGGTATGGAGAAAGGATACAATCCTGACATACACTTTTCTTAAACTATGTAGTGTTCCTGTATACATGGACAGAGACTTGACAGTTCTAAGCTGGATTTAGTAAAGTCCAGGAATATCATTGCTAATGCTAGATGGATACTGGCTGAAAGCAGAGAATAAAAGAATATTTGTGCTTTATTGTTTATGCAAAGGCATTTGACTGCATGGATAACAAATTATGGCTAATACTGAGAATAATGGGAATCCCAGCACACTTTATTGTGCTCATGCAAAACCTATACCCAGACCAAGAGGCTGGTGTGCAAGCAGAGCAAGGGATCAGTGTTCCTAAGGACATCATAAATAATGGCATTATACAATTGTAATTGCTATTTTACAATGAAATTTATGAGTGACTAAATGCAACCAATTTTAAAAAGGACAAAAATTGGTATTTTGTCAGATAAAAAAGAAAAATTTCTGTAACAGAGCAACAGAACATTTCTCTTATATTCATCCCATTGGCCAGAATCATCACACAGCTCCAAATGATTCTGGAAAATACAGCCTTTATCTGGACAAATGTGTTGATATTCACCATGGGGGGGGGGTAATGGAAGAATTTTAGGGACAACCAAGTCTTTTTTATACAGTAAAAGTAACATAGGACATGGCAAAAATGGAGATAATGGAAAGGTAAAATAAGATGAGGTTGGTAGGAGACAGATTACATAATTGTAAAGAACAAGGCAAGAATTTGGGATTTTTCTTCTCTATGCACAGTGAAGCCACTGCTGTTAAATGCCGTCGAGTCAGCTTCAACTCATAGTGATCCTATGCACAACAGTTCTAAACCCTGCTCTAACCTGAGCCAGTCTGATCATCTCTGACACATCTACCCCCATAACCCCAGTCACTGAATCAATCATCTCATTCAGGACCTTCCTCTCTTGTGCTATCCCTCTCCAAGGACTGGTCCCTCCTTGTAACATGCCCAAAGTATGTCAGATGGAGCTTCAAAATCCTTGCTTCCAAAGAGCAGCCTGGTTACACCTTCTCTAGGATGGACTTGTTTGTTCCATTGGAGGGTTTTAAACAAGGAGGTGATATAACTTAATGAAATTTTAAAAACAATTACTGACTGATATTAAGAATGGTCTGAAGACTTCGTTCTGGACTCCTGTCATGACAATAACACCTAATCAATCACATATCCCTTTTAAACAGTTTTCTCCCTCATCTGTTTCAATGCAGTATACATTATTGTCATGACAGGAGTCCAGAACGAAGGCTGCATAGTGGAGTGGACCTGGGAGGGACTGTACAACAATGAAAGAATTTTTCTTTTACTTTTCAAAGAGAAGAGTGTACTGGGGAGAAGGGGTGGGCACGGAGAAAAGTAAACAATGAATGAATGGAAATCCAAAGTCTCTGTCAATTTTCATTAAAATTATTAATAATAAAAAAAATTTTAAGAAACCAAAAAACAATGGTCTGAAGGGATGTGAAGCAAAATGAAGCAGGCAGTGTGTAGACTGTAGTGGCTCAGTAAAAGAACCTGACATTTTGGACAAGGTGGAAGCACTGGAGATAATAAGTAGCTGAAATAAGGATGACAGACCTGATGGTGCCAGCTGGTGAACCGGGTGAATGTGAGGGAATGAAAGCAATTCAGGGAAGCCTTTAAGTTTTATGGTTAAGTGACTGAATGGTCTAACTACTTATGGAGATTTAGGGGAGGAAATTTAGATAATGATCAAGGAGATTGGAATGCTCTATTTTATACAAATTAGAATTTGAGATGCTTGTCCTTTGTCACTGAAAAATTTTCATTATTGTTGCTGTACCTATTTAAACATGAGAGCTATCTGTCTATAATTGTTGCATTAATAAGGCATTTCTCTCCTCAGTCTAAGTCAGCAGTTTTCTCTAAAAGGCAGAAAGCAATTTACCTAACACATATTTTGAAAACAAACAAAATGTATATGGACTTTTAAAAACTATCTACCAACTGGATAAATTAAATATCTGCAATAAATATGAAATAGTTAATGCAAGAAACAATTTAAAAATGGAAGCAGCTGTGCTGTAACCCTGACAGCATGTGATTCAAATCTACCAGCTGCTCCATGAGACATGCGAGAAGAATCAGCTATCTCCTCCCATATGATTAATTGCTTCTGAAAACCCTCTGGAAGGTGGGTTATGAGTTGGTTCTGATGCAACCACCACCACTACCACGACGTCCACTTTCTATCAGAAAAGTGAGGAATACATTAACCTTTGACTAATCCAGAGCTGTCTTCAAGTATTGGATGAATTTTACAACTTAAGAAAATGCACTTATTAGGAAGCCAGAAAGAAGCCTTTGACCAATTTTTACATGCTTAATACCTAGAACTGTTCTCTGTATTAAATGAACTTTTCAAATTTGTAACAGATTACAGGTTAATGAAAACAAACGATATCAATTAGATTTCAACTTATAGTGACCCTACTACACAGTTTCCATGGCTTTACAGGAGTTCCACACTCTGGTACCAAAGCGTGAGTGATTGGTGGGTATTAGAAGCTGATCACTTAAACCACCACATCACTAGGGCTCCTAAAAGTAAAATTAAAAACTTGTTATTCAACGAAGGTTAAAGTAAATTTATATTCAATAAAAAAGGGAATAGTTAAAGAATACTTTCCCCACTACTTCTTCCCACATATTTAACATTATGAAATTGTTCTCTTTCAGCAAAGTGTTCAAGGTAAAAAATACCCTGTCAGATCCTTTGTGAGGAAATTCTCCAATTTTCCCCAATAGTTAACCCATCTAAAATTTGGCTTTTGGGGATAAGTAGAGAAGAGTGAGCTCATCTTTTAGGCTTAAGAAAATTCTATTTATAAATTAGATAAAAAATTAGAATTGTAATACACAAGTAAGCAGATCTACTTTTATTCTACAGCTCCAAATGACTGTATTTTAACTTATTAATAGTGAGATTAAAACGGTTAATGATGTTAAATATTACTGCAACCAGAGATCTATTTAGCGTTTTTAAAGTACAATGCTATTGTTATAGGTGTTAATAGAGCATCAAAGGAGAAAGCAGGACAGGTGGGACTGTTGGGGTAAGGGATGGAAGAAGGCTATAAACAAACAAAAAAGGCTGTAAACAAATAAATGTTGGTCCTCCTTGAATTTTCCTGAAGTGAAAACCAAGCAATAAACAAAAATGAATACACATGAACTATTTTATTACATAAAAGCCAAGAAAAAAACCATTTTCTATTGGCTATATGTGCATCTGAAGTTTAGATATATTCACACAATAACTCCTGACACAGGAAAACATCTTGCTTTTGGAAACACGACCTAGTCATTTTTTATTTCCCAGTATGATTATTTTTCCTGCTAGGCAGGGGTAAAATGTTCTTTGTTGTTCAATGATAAATTCTGACTTGGGTTATAGTGATGGGGGGGGGGCGGGAGAAAGCGACTTTATGAAACAAAGAAGGAAAACACTTTTTTTTTTTAAATTTAGAAAAGCTTACATTTATTAGCAAACTACAGTAATCAAACAGAAAGGAAGACCAATTCTCACGTTCTACAGCTAAGCATTATAAACACAGAGGGCTGCTATGAAGCCCCCAAATGTTGAATCATTACGAATGAGGAAGAGTTCTTCGACATACAAAGAAAGAACGCGATTTATTACGGTGGAGAAAACAAATTCCACTTCGAGTGGCAATTATTTTGCAAAAAACATATTTCGCAGAAAAGCCACCACGATTACGAACGGCCTTGCGATGGCTCAGCCAGTGGAGTCTCCGTGGAGCTTGGGGCTCGCTGTCCGCGCTGGAGTCGCTTCCGCAGCGGCGAGTTACGAGCAGAGCCTCCTCACACTGCAAACCTCCCGGAGCTCGTGCAAGCCGCCGAAAGCCCGCTTCTACAAAACCTACTTTCCGGACCCTCCCTCCCAGGAGGCTTAAAAACACAGTACTGAGGGTGGCCTCGTCCGAGGGGAACTCACTTCTCAGGAGGTGAGGGTGGCGACGTGCCGCCGGTCCCTGGAAGTGCGTGCACAGGCACCGGAGGCTGCGGGGCCAGACAGAGGATAGGGGGACAGCGGTTCGGTTGGCTTCAGGTACTGGAAGTGGAGCAGGGGCCCAGCCCGAGGCGGACGTGGGAGGGCGGAGTGTTGGACACAAACACAAACACGCTCCACGTCCCTGAGAAGGGCGGAACGACGCCACCTCACCATTCCCCGCCCCTGGACCCTGCGGTCCCCCTCCGGCCTAGAGTCTGAGCCCAGATCCAAACAACCCGGCCCTAGGAGGGCGTAAGCAGACGCCAAGGTCCCCGCTCTTTGTAACGGCCGCGGAATAGCCTCCCCCGGAATCCAACAGTGGAAGCTGCGGTGGGGGCGATCGGGTAGTGAAGCTCCACTTTCCAACCTCTTCCGAGAGCGACGAAGAAACCTCCCCTAACGATTCAGGAATCTCAGCTCCCACCTTCCGCCGCCGCTTTGAGGCAAGCCGGAGCGACGGGGGTCACGGCGGGGGTCAGAGGGTAAAGGTCCTGCTCCCAGCAGCCTCCGCGGTGGATACGTCGCCATCTTGGATCCGCGGGACAAGAAAATTCATGCGGTGAGTTTTTGGCAAATTTTTGGAAGTCTGGCTGCGGGGCGCGCGGCGGGGGCGGCGAATTCGGGGCCCCTGCAAGGCGGGGGAATGCCTCGGGGCTGATCCGGTCGCGTCCGGGGTCCGCGGGTAGCGCCAGGACCCGCCGCTTCCCTTTGCTTTTGTCTCGGCTCCAATCGAGAGAGGGAGAGCGGAGCGGGCGGGGAGGGGGGTGGCGGCGGTGGAGGGAGGGGGTGTGTATGGGGGGGTGGACGGGACGTAAAGCGTCGCTCTCCTCGGGCCGCTGCAGCGGCAGCTCCCGAGCTTAGGCCTGGTCCCGTCTGCGGGTGGCCGAGCTTTCCCCAGTCTCAGCTTCCCCCGGCTCCCGCCAGCGCAGAGGAGCCGCTGCCGCGCTGCTTCCTGGGGAAGAAGGGAAGGCGGTAGCGGCGGTGGCCGAGGATCCCTGGCCCGCTTTAGACAGTGCCGCCTTTTCTCAGCAGCTGCCGCGGTCTCTGGTCCTTAACAGCCTCTTACTACTCATACATCACCGCAACTTGTGTGTGTTTGTCTGTGTTTAAAAGGCTGGGGGGTAGAGGGGCGGCGGGAGGCACTGGACTAGCTAACGGGCCTTAGAGTACCGAAGGCTGTAGATGGTGGATGGGGAAGAAGTGCATTTGTGATGTCTTTGCCACTGCACCCAGAGCATGAAGGTTCCGTAGTGTCGTAGAGATCGAATCGGAATGATTCTCCGGCCACGGAGGAACACGAGATGCTTGTGTTTGTGAACTTGTCAGACCTAGATTTCTACTTCCGCCAGGCTTCTCCACCTTTAGCTGTTTTGTGTCTAACTTAAAAGTTGCACTAAGGAATGAATGAGTGTGGCTAGAGGCCCCAGTTCTTAGTGGTTGAGTCTGTTACTGTCTAGGAGCAATCCTCATAACTCTTGGAAACTGATTATTAACAATTGCTAATTTTAGTTTTCGCTCAAGACTGTGTACACTAGGTTTTATAACATGCATTTGTTTCAGGCCCTATGCGTACCGTATATCCACCTCAAAAGTCCAACTACGGGTATCACCATAGATCCTAAATGGCCTCTTCTCAGTCCTGAAAGACATCATCACTTTGTCAACATCCAGAATAAGGGCAGCAAACGTTCTTCTTTTCTTAACTCCAACTTCATTTTTAATTATTTGGACATATGGCCCATAACAACAACAGGCGTTGCCTAATAAGTAAGGTAGCTAGTACCAACTCTTAGATGCTTATCTCAATGCCATTAAGTACTGAGTTAAAATTTGTTCAGAAGAGAGTTCAGAGTTGGATATATAGCTTAATGTGCTTGGTACTAGAAATTTCTAGAGTTCTGGAATCGTTTTTGCAACTTTTGAAACAACATAAGCAAAAAAGATAAAGTATGATGTAGTAAAAGGGTGGCATAGACGTTTTAAAATACTATTATGGGGAGCTCTGATGGCCTGGTGCTCAAAGTCACGTTCAAATCCACCAGCTGTACAAAGCTGAGCAATCTTCCCATGCAATTTACTGCCACTGAAAACAGACTAGAAGGTCAATTATAAGTCGTTCCAACTCGAGGGCGTACAACTTTCATATTAGTTTCATGTTGTTTGAGAATGGTGTATTCTATAGGAGTTATCTTTCAGAGTTACTTAGCACACACCTTTTGTAATTTTGGAAGGTAACTTGATCCATGATTTGAAGAGCTGATAAAGAACCACAATGGTCTGAAAGGTTAAATGTCTACTACATGAAGATCTCTTTCATTGAAGTGTTTCTTACTAGACCAAAATTATTAGCACACTTTGTAGGTTTAACTAGATTGTAGTTCTTTTGTACTGTTAGATGCTAAAGGAAAAGAAGCAAAATACATTTGTAAAAAAAGACTGTATACTGTATACTTCTTTATAATATTTTTGTTCTTTTTTAAGGTGGAATTTTCTCTCCTTCCCCACCTCCCCCAAGACTTTACAGTCATTTCTGTAAACACTGTTGTGTTAGACAGGAAGTGAGAAACTGTATTTTACTTTTTTTTTTTGTCGTAATTAATGCTATATCAATAACAAGTTAATAAAAACATTTGTTTTCAAAACACTTGTTTTTAAACTTTGAATATACATTAGAGAGTCCCTAACCTAATTTGATACCCTTGGGCATTGAAAATTGTATCTTGAACCAAGTGACAAATACCGCAAACTTTTTTTTTCCTGTTACATTTGCATTTCTAAGTAAACCTGTGTGGTGGGAAATTGAGGGCAAAATACATGTGAGTGATTTATACCCTCTGCAGTTGAAAAATGCCTCATGTTGAAGATAACATAAAATGAATATATCTTCATAAGAAATTACTCATTTCTTTGTTATAACTTGAATCTTTCATATACTTTTAGCTTTTTTCAGAGGTACTTTAACACTAATAATTGTTATTAAGTGCTATCTAGTCAGAACCAACTCAGCTAATCCTCTAGTAGGTTTTCACAGACTGTAAATCAATTCCATGAGAGAAGGTTGCCCATTTTTCTCTCATGTACTCTTAATTGTAGCCTGAAAATTATTTATGCTAAAAAAAAATTACTTGAGATTTCTGAGCAATTTTACGAGGAGTGCTTCTGGTCTGGGTTTTTTTTCCTCTTCAATAGATCATGATAGTAAAAGTACTTATATTTTGAAAGGTCTTTATAAAATTTTTAAAAATGTGCATGAAGTTGAAAGGACCACCAGTGGCTTGTCATGGTGGTGTTGATGTCATGAAGTACAACTCTTAGCTACCCTTTGAACAACAGATACGAATCCTGCCCTAGCCTGTGCCATCCTTATATTGGTACCATTGGTAACACAGTTGAGTGCGTTGCTACAGTCATTGTCAGTCCATCTTGTCCAGGGTCGTCTTTTCTTTCATTGACTCTCGAGTTTCTAAGCACACTGTCCCTTTCCAAGGAATAGCCTTTCCTAGAAAACATTGCCAAGATATGTGAGAATAAGCTTTGCCATATTTGACTCCAAAGGAACTTTCTAGCTGCACATTCTACAGGACCTGTCTTATTTGTTGTTCTGTTATTTGAAGGAATGTTCAGTAGTATTCTCTTACACGTCAATTCAAAAGCATCGGTAATTCTTCTGTCATCCTTATTCATTGTCTAGCTCTTACATGAATAGCAAGTGATTGAAAAGACTGTGGCTTGAATCAGGCACACCTTAGTCTTCAGACTGACTTGATTGCTCCTTAATAATTTGGAGAGATTGCTGATAGCCGACTTTGAAAAGTTGCATGAAGTTGAAAGGGTAGCTGGTGGCACATTGTATACATTTAGAAAAGTTTCTCCTATAAAGATTTCAAGCCTTAAAAATCTGATAAAAGTCACTGGAAGTGGGAGCCAACTTGATGGTAGTTTTTGTTTAATTTTCTTCATACATTGTGTATATATGATAATAGTACAAATAATTTATACTTGTTTTCTCTTTAAAAGCAATGCTAAGTAATAGCATACTTTTTTAAAAAAAGTTTTATTTGTTTTGTGCCATTGAACCAGTTCCAACTGGCACAGGAGATTGCCCCTCCTTCTCCAGCAGAGCATCTGGTGGATTTGAACAGCATACCTTCAGGAGTGTAGCGCAGCTTCTTGCCACTAGACCACCAGAGATCCCAAATAATAGCATGCTTTTCAAAGTGTCTTAAAAAATGTTAACTATTAAAAACACATTCTGTTACAATCACATTTAGCAAACAGTGGTACATTGTCAGAAAAAAGATGCTACTAAATGTTTGTTTTGCTACCTGAATTGCCAGTGGATTTTTAACACAAGCAATAGAGAGGAAGTACCAAATAGGAAAGTTTTCAGAGGCAGATTAATCTGAGTTGCACCATAATGTTTTGATACAATTACTGTTTTCATTACTGTCAAAGAATTTAGTGCTGTGACTAAGTAATTTTGGTTAATAGTACAGGAGATTGATTGTTTTTCTGTATTAAGGATAATTTCTAACTGAGATGCTTAAAGGAGTAGAAATTCATTATGGGTTTTTACTTGGTATTTTTGAAAGACTTAAATTGGTGTTTGTTGTAGAAAGTCTCCTTGAAGGATGGGAGGAGAAATGAAATTTAGGTTTTAGAATTTTTGTTTTGTTCAGTGAATCCTTCCTTAGTATACTATTTTGAAATTATTTTTTTTCTGTTTGACATCTTTTGATTTCTCTTTCAAAACTTAGCTACTATCAGAAGTCATACTATAAAACTCATTTATTTATTTGTTCCAGGATGACCCAGAAATGGAACTCCTAGTTTATTTTTCTAACAACTTGTTTTCTGAAATAACAAATGTGTTAGACTTTGGGGGCATGTTGTGTTGCTAATGGAATAATAATGTATAGTATTTTGTGTTATGAGATATGGATGTATTTTACTAGCCATATTATTTTGGGAGTATACTGTGTTATAGAATAATATAGTGATTTACATTGTTTATTTTTTAAGTTTTTAGCTTGTGTCATGTAGAAATGCAAAGAAGGGGCTTGTCTAGGAAAAATGAAAATTTCTTTATACATTAATATTTTGTGTGTACTCAGAGTCAGAATAAAAATATGTTTAGATAGTTTATATAAATTTACCACCTCCCTTTATATACTTCTTTATTTTTCTTTGCTGTATCTTTTCCATGGACTTATTTTTATTTGTGAGTGTGTATATCCTACTTACAATTTTTCAATTATTTGATAAACTTCTTAGTCCTCAAAGCCCAAGAATGGTGTCATATTCTTTATGAAACCTTATTTATTCCCAAGAGTCTTGCTGTATTGCCTTTTTAAAAAATTGTGTATGTTGCTTTGAGTGATGGACAACTCAAACAATGACGACAACAACAACAGGTCACATTTTATTTGAATTGCTGTTCACCTCCAATTCTCACTACAGCTTCTTTTGGCCTGTGAGCTCCTGTAAAAATAATGGAACCACAACCAATTCTTACAAAGTCAAACATGCTTCACTCTTATTTCTGTTAATTTTAACACC